TCGAGGGCTACATTAGTTTTCCTGTGTTATGGTAGCGCTTTGCGTCCAAGTACATGGGCTTTGGCACTATTTTGCGTTGACTCTGAACCTGCTATAATAATGACAAATGTTAGATTTGTTTGCGATTGCGGGAATTTGCGAGCGGGTGAACACGCTCGAGGATTGCGGGTTCGACTTCGTGAACGTCTATAGCGCTCACGATTTATGCCTTTTTTATCTATGCTATTTGAAGGCTTAAGGCATTGAGAGATTCTTGCAGTGCTATTAATGAATTAAGCGAGTTTTGTCTCTGTGACATTTTTCGGAACGCTCTGAATGGCTGAGACGGTTGGTTTCATATTGTATATTATGTCGATAGCTTTATCAGACATCTCTGCTAATCACTATAAGTCATTCGTATTTGAGATTGCTAGGAAAGCGCGAATAGATTCTCGTAGCTGCTCAAGGAATAACGAGCGTAAGATGGCATCTAGGCGTGTAACCAACAATCTTGTTGCGCGCGAAATGGTAATTCATGACACACTGCTGGATAAAGCGATGTCGGTTTTTGTCGAGGATCACCAATGTGGCGTTAATGGAAGGTTCACTAGTATTATCGATTGACTGACAAGTAATTCCAACAAATATATATCTTTATTAAAAAATATAACGTACAAAGAACTCTAAGGGTCTGAGCACGAGAATTGTCGTAACACTTAGACTTAAATTGAGTTGCAGACATAAGTATGTATCATGTATGACGTACAACTTATTGCCGTGTCTCCAAGAGACGGCAATAAGTCGTACGTAATACGCCAAAACTTGTGCGTTACTTACGTTTACAACTTAAGTCTCTAAGTGTTACGACAATTCTTGTGCTCAGATCTTAACTTTCGGACAAAGTGTCTGAGTAAGAAATAAATGAATTATATTAGATGAACGACGACCGTGAACGCTGAGTGACGCCGCCACCGGCGCCAAATTGTTGGTGAGATGCAGCCGCTATATTTGTATTTGTGGCAACTCTCTAATCAACATTACGCATCTTAGGAGGAAAATTTTGTATTCTTACGTCTCATACATACACACACACACTCACGCACGCACGCACGCATACACGCACGCACGCACGCACGCACC